GGTATCTTCATCATCTTTATGAATGAATATATAAGAATGAAATTTAATTACATCTCGTATGTTTCTCTTTATTAACCTAACTGAAATAACCACCTACCGGCAAAAAAAAAAAACCCAGGTACATGTAATGAACATGATGAAATAAGACATTTTTATCAATGCATTCAAAGCTTAATACTACGGTGCTTTATTTACCACTAGTTAGTTTTTGAAATGTATCCCTATCACCATGATCACATCCATCAGCTTGACTATTAAAACTACATTGGATAACAAATCAATTAAGTTTTTACATACATTATGTTCACTATAATTAATGTTAGAATTTATATGTTGGAAGTGAACAATAATTCTTTATGTTTCTAATTTAGTGTTACTAGGGGTTTTGAAAAAATATCAAATTGTGAAAATGTTTGCATTATTCAAAGAAATATACAAAAACAAGATGTGTTTGTGAAACACTGTGCCCCCACAGCAACAAAGTTTGAAAAAGCTATTCTTAGCATAAAGGTTACAGTCAAGGTCACAAGGTCATTGACCTCGGTGTCGTTTGAAAGCACTTAACTAGTGAAGTAGGCATACCAAATATCAAGTCTCTATCTCCTATTGTTTAAAAGTTATACCGAAAGTTCAAAAAATCTATTTTTAGCATATAGGTCACAGTCAGGGTCAAAAGGTCATTGTCCTTGGTGTCAGTTGAAAGTGCTTAATTAGTGGAGTCTATGCATTTTATATATGAAGTCTCTATCTTGATCTGTTCAAAAGTTATGGCGAAAGTTAAAGTTGATAACAAATAGAATAAAAGTAGGTCAAACTCCAAGGTCAAGGTCAAGAGGTCAAATTTGGTGGTACCCAAAGAAAGGTTATGTCACAAGTAACACACCTATGAATTATGAAAGCCATAGCCCCTACCACTCAATAGTTATGGGCTAGGTTAAAGTTGGGGGACAAACAAACAAACAGACAGACAGACAGACAGACAGGCAGGACAAAAACAATATACCCCCGATCTTTCGATCCGGGGGCATAATTACAGAACATAATTTCCAGATTTCTTTTTCATCAAACATAGTTTTAGAAGAGGTGTACAAATCCATATAAAGACATTCAAAGTATTGTACCCAGGTCCTTCATTAAGTGAAACTCTGAAACTCCAGGGAAGATCCTAATAAAGTTCAAACTACCGGTATGTTGCGTATGACCTTTAGAGAACTGAATTTTCATTCTGCATAATGCAGTCAGGCGATATTGATCGATATTGCTTTTGCATTGAAATAGATCTAAATGTATGTCAAACTTGATATATTTTTTATTATGTCAGCTACTTAAACTTCCTAAATATAATTTATTGTTAATTATTTAAAAGAAGACCTAAATTTTTATAAAAAGCATCTACCGGGTATATGCAACATCATGTCAAGGTCAGTCAATCCCTTTTAGTGTATGGTTCTATTGATTTTTGTCCTCCTTTTTATCAAATGCAAGATTTCATGATAATTAATTGAATCTTATCATCTGTCATATGTAAGTCTGTTGGTCTGCTCATCTGTCACAAAAACTTAAAACCTTGGTCATAACTTTTGAATGAGATGAGATAGGGCTTTCGACATGTTCAGATTATACATGCATTCCCTGTGGTAATTCCTTTCATAATGAACTAGTACATGTAACTATGTTTTTAACTAATAATGATTTTTGACCATGGTACCTTGACCTTGAAGTATGACCTACTTTTCAAAAATCCTTTTGACTTTTGATTTAGAAGAGATAGGGTTTCATATTTTACATGTGCATTATCTGTGACATGATATTTCTGTGCATGCTATATCTGACACCTTAATATTTACCTTCATGTTTGACCTAATTCAAAAAAGTGGTGCTACATTACATTAACTCTTCAATGACATATGATAGGTCTTTCATATTTGACAAAATATGTCGTATATGCTATCATGGCTATTATAACAACATTTCACCAAATATGAATAATTCACATGATACAGAAAAAAAAATTATGATTCCATAAGGTACTTCCATAAATATCATATGATTGGTTCTTTGATTTTGAAGTGATAATTTTTGGTTCACATTTTTTTTTTTAAAGAAAAATAGAGATTTTACATCTATACCACTGCAGCAGTTGATCAGATCCACCCTTGTGAGTACCCCATAAAAGTACATAAATCCCCCTCCCCCCATTTGGGGCTTCATTTTTGAATTTATTCCCAATGTCAGACCGAACTTTTATTAGTATCCATAAAAATACACTGAACTTGAACTTGATTAACCTTAGACAGGCACAATGTGACATTATAATCTAACTGATATGTGACATCCTAGCTGACAAAGTTGCAACTTGTGGGAAACAAGCTATCCATGCCAAAACATATTCCTCCTCCCTTGGGTAAGACAAAAAACTAATAAACGGGATAAAAAAAATGACAATGTTTACATCCCAAAAAATCTTCAGTCTCAATGTGGTAATATCTACCACATAGACATTTTGCCAGAAATAACCCCCAATCAAATTCATAGCATGCACAGTGTAATGGGCTAGTAATATACTTACATCACTCCAGTCTCGTACACAAATTTATTTCTTCGGACACCGACAGCAGAATTCCAATGGACATTATTGGGATGATGTTAATGGAGTAATTCACACACGCTAAATCAATCAAATTGATTTAAAAACCTGCATGAATTAACCCTTATTAAAATAAAGTTTAATTAAGGTCATTGGCAACGAAGGGTTTCCGGAGAAAAAAGGTTTATACCCAGGTTTCTTTACTTATGAAAAAAAGTCATTGAGAGTGATCTCCCGTATGGAATTCTCTAGGCGCTGAAAACAAAGAAAGCATATGTAACAGACTGAGAGGTAAACAAAAGCACGTGTGTTTTTTTATCGGATATATTCAACTCTACAGCAATAAAAGAAAAGCAGCGATGGGTTTGTTTACATTGTGTTGAGGGGGCAGACAGTTAACAGGTCGTCATTTAGAATAGGTAAATGATTGCTGGGAACTGCAAATGTGTGAAATAATTATGCTGAAAGTGTTGATAGCTAGCACTCTCTACCATCGGCTCATACATTTACATGGTGTCTGAGAGAGGAACGAACGACAACTCTGCGTAGGAGATTGGATAGCTAGGTGGACCGAATGAGAACGATTCCATAGGTTATGTGAATGATGCACCATTAAAAAGTTACTATAAATACTTGCAAAAATGTTTGTTTTGACAGTTCGTTTCCAATTAAGTAAATTATAGAATAGAAACAAACAACCACTCTCTTGATCATTATGAATATTGATTAGATGTTATTACAGTAAAGGGAAGTAACTCAAAATTAAAGAACAGTGCTGGAATTTCTGAGTTTTGTTTCAATATTCGCATTTTCAGCCAAATTATATGCATGTCATCGGAAATAAGGTTTCAACAATGTGTTTTATGTATAAACCTTATGAAATAAATGGGTTTTAGAGAAAACGTATGGTTAAAAATAATATAGGCCCATTTTATCAACTTTTTACATAGGAAATGCATTGAAAATTGTAAAAACATTGATTTGACAAAATCGTTAAAGGAAGGCTGGCTTGATGGGTAAAAAGGACCTGAAATGAACATGTTTGGTACCATTAAACCTGTTCAAAAAATCTTGAAAAATTCTATACGAAAACCAGAAACGTTGCCAATGTCCTTAACTTCTTACTTCCATCATCATGACAATCAATCCAGGCAGGTGGTCTTCTTATAAAACGCTCATTTGACCCTGACCAAGTGTTGACTAAAATGCCGAATTGACTTTGTGTTCACTAAAAGGCCGAAATAGAAGATAGCCCAACTGCAGTAGATTCATTCTTTTAAATGGAAGTTTCAAATCTTCTTATATCAACTGTATATTAACTTCTCAATCTGGTCAATATTCTAATTAATATTTTTTTCCTCATAATTAATTTTCCGTTACAAGCATATATGTAAGATACCAACATTACTTTTTCTATTGAAAATATTCATTGAAGTACACCCCCCCCAAGTAAATACTACGGTAAAGAAATATAAGGAAAATGAAGAAATATAAGGAAAACCCCCCCCCCTCAAAATAGGATAACAGAGTTTGAGCAATGGTTTGTTGTTTTTTTTTTTGTTTTTTTTTTTTTGCTTCTCAACTTTTCCAGGCCGAGTAATTCCCACAAAAAAAAAAAAAAAACAATTGTCTGGCTCCACTTTTCAAAAACGATGCTATATGCCTTAGTCATCAGATGATTTATTTTTCATTTCCCTCAGGCTCATTTTTTTTTTTTTTTTTTGTATAATCGAAAGAAATAACTATCAATTAATAAATGTTTTGTGTTGTGCCAGATGGTATAACAACATGCTACATTGCTATTCAATAAAATAAATTTTATTCTATAATTAATATAATTTTTATTCCACATTGCAAATGTATGGAAATCGCGTATTAGGTATGATAAAGAGGGGGGGGGGTGCATGTATTCATTCATTGGTTTATTAGCTTCGGCGCACTGTGCCACAGAGTATGGGCGAACCACTCTACACACAGAGAATTGAAAATCTATTGTAAGATTCACCCTCAGACTGTATTCCGAGGGTATACATATACACGCACATGTGTATATTACAGTATTCGGATCCACACCTACATAGTGACACCTGCCATTTCTTCTTGATTGCATAATAATAATCGTCTAGTCCCGTCTTCGAGCACTGTCTACATGAACAAGTTTCAGATTTTAAAATTATATATGGTTCATCATTTCTACCTCATCTGAGGAAGTATACAAAGATAGCAAGAATGTTTAATTTTTTTTTTTTATTTATATTAACAGGTATTAAAAATTAAATTTGTTAATTTTTTTCCCTCTTGTTTTCAGGTTATATTGCTTCTTTAATAAAAGAAAAAAAAGTTATATTGCTTCTTTAAATTTATACAAATATACACTTAATTCTTCATATTAAATTAAATGATGTTGGACGCAATGAGAGTTATAGAATGCACAATTACTAAAAATTTCAGGCAACAGTTCAATTGGTATTGAAAGTAAAGAAGAGAAAACTACACCATCTACACTCGCGAAATAACGGAAAGCTAAATTAATATTCCTTATACTTTTTATCGTAATTCTGTAATCAACAACAACAACAACAACAAAAGGGACACACACACCCTTCCCGACGTTTCAATTACGCTGCGAATTTTATGGAACAAAATTATAGAATTTATTTAAAACCCCATCCCATCCAAAAAGAAAACAGAAAAGGCTTTCAGAGGCCTGATTATTTCAGTATGCATTTTACTTGATCTATTCGATCGAAACTTTCCCTCAAGTATTGATATACAACTAATTAACATATGTAACAGAATAATTTTTTTTTAAAAATATGTACATGTATGTGGTCTTTCTAGAACGATTAAAAAATAACAATGATGTCATCTTTTCAAATAAAGTGTTTAGTTGCTTTCTCCCGACCGACTGACAATTTTCATTAAAATGACCCAAATCAAAACTTTTTAAATTCCCGGCCGTGTGCGATGTTTTCTCTCTCTCTCATACCGCTGATGCAATAATTTTATACTGTGTCAAGAGAGAGAAAAAGAGAGAGAGGAAGCCATTGATAGCCTGACCACTGAATGCTTACATGCAAAGCAGTACCCGATTGATTTAATTGCAGGAGTGTTGAATCTTGAAAAGCAGTCTTAATTAAAATCCCTTTTATTAGTGTTGTTATGAAAGAGATGATTTGCAGATGGATTTTCAATTAATTAATTCTAAAAAATCTTTTTAACTTTGTACAAGAGCAATCAACCTGAAATCAGTGAATTTCACACCTTAAATTTCACACCTTTCTAAATATATTGAAATTTTGCCCGAAGGAAGGTTCTCACACCTTTCAGAGTTTAAGTCTATACGATGATATACACATATATTCCAGAATTCATCTCCACACTGCATGACTGATCATTACACGTGCCGTTTCCTGTTTATTTAATCCAATTGTGTATACATACCCTGGTAGCTTGTTTCAGAGTAACTACTCTCAAAATTATTTTCAAAAGTTTTCCAAGTAAAGAGCACATTTCAAAGTGTTGATTGATGAACATACATAAAATATTAATTATCATTATTAATAGATACTATTTTTTGAAATTTTATTAATTGATAATTATATTGTGTAATTACCAATGAAAACAGTCATGAAAATTATATCTTTTAAGTGAAAAATTCAGTATATTTGGATGTGAGCAGAGACCTAGTAATATCTGGTATTTATGTCTCTGATGTAAGACTCATTAAAAAATCTGTTGCAACTTATTTCAATAACCATGATAACTAAGAATTCATACATGTATAATATATTTTTCAATATCTTCTTATATTTGGAGAATCCATCATTAGATTATACCCAGTCAATGGTGTATTCTCTTAAATGGTCATAATTTTTCCCTCTCTCAATGAAATTTGGCAAGTATGGTTTTATATTTCTTACAATGGTATAAACTCTCTAAATCTTACATGATAAATTGTAAGAGATCTGAAATTTACATAGGGAGAATCCATCACCAGGCTATATGCAGTCATGCAGTCATACCGGTGTGTTCAGTTCCCTTAAATGGCCAAAACTTTTTCCTTTTTCACTGAAATTTGGTAAGTATAGTTTTATATTTCTTAAAATGGCATAAACTTTATAAATCTTACATGATAAATTGTAAGAGATCTGAAATTTACATAGGGAGAATCCATCACCAGGCTATATGCAGTCATGCAGTCATACTGGTGTGTTCAGTTCCCTTAAATGGCCAAAACTTTTTCCTTTTTCACTGAAATTTGGTAAGTATAGTTTTATATTTCTTAAAATGGCATAAACTTTATAAATCTTACATGATAAATTGTAAGAGATCTGAAATTTACAAAGGGAGAATCCATCACCAGGCTATATTCAGTCAGTCGTACCAGGGTAAACTCTTAAATGGTAATAACTTTTTCATTTTTCAATGAAATTTGGCAAGTTTGGTTTTATTTTTCTTTCAATGGCATGAACTTTGTAAATCTTACATGATAAATTGTAAGAGAACTGAAATTTACACATTCACAATTCATCACCAGGCTATATTCAGTCAGTCATACCAGGGTAAACTCTTAAATGGTAATAACTTTTTCATTTTTCAATGAAATTTGGCAAGTTTGGTTTTATTTTTCTTGCAATGGCATAAATTTTGTAAATCTTACATGATAAATTGTAAGAGATCTGAAATTTACATAGGGATCCAGAATCCATCACCAGGCTATATTCAGTCAGTCGTACCAGGGTTTGTTCTCTTAAATGGTAATAACTTTTTCATTTTTCACTGAAATTTGGCAAGTTTGGTTTTATTTTTCTTACAATGGCATAAGTTTTGTAAATCTTGTGATAAGCGGTAAGAGAACTGAAATTTACATAGGGAGAATCCATCACCAGGCTATATGCAGTCATGCAGTCATACCGGTGTGTTCAGTTCCCTTAAATGGTCAACACTTTTTCCTTTTTCACTGAAATTTGGCAAGTATGGTTTTATTTTTCTTACAATGGCATGAACTTTGTAAATCTTACATGATAAATTGTAAGAGAACTGAAATTTACCTAGGGAGAATCCATCACCAGGTTATATTCAGTCAGGCGTACGTACTCTGGTGTGTTCTCTTAAATGGTCATAACTTTTTTCTCTTTCACTGAAATTTGGCAAGTATGGTTTTATTTTTCTAATCACTGGTTTATTTGATATTACTGATATCACTTACTTTAGGTATATTAAGCTAAATATTTCAGGCAAATTGCTCACATTTTTTGTGAAAAACAATTATTTAAAGTAAAATTTCAATTAAATTCAAATAAACTTAAACAAATACATTTGTAATTTTGTATAAATAACTTTTCAGACCCCTTCCACAAATCAACAGGATCAGTCATCTCAGCGTCACCCTCAGACTCAGTTCCCATCTCAACAACACTCGAACAACAATATTAACCAACCAGCTCCATCTCTAAATCAGACATACCATCCATTTCGACCCAACAATGGACAGCAGCTACTGCCTCTAGATGGTCCAAGCCCTTCTCATCAACAGTTTCATTCACACCATGAGAACTCTCAACAGCATTTTCAACCTAACCTCTGCTACCCACAGCAGCAGCAATTCCATGGACAGAACCAGGGCGACCCACACCAGCAACAGTTCCACTCAGGCATGCCACACCAGCAACAGTTCCACCAGGGCTCACCACACCAGCAACAGTTCCACCCAGGCACACCACACCAGCAACAGTTCCACCAGGGCATGCCACACCTGCAACAGTTCCACCAGGGCATGCCACACCAGCAACAGTTCCACCAGGGCACGCCACACCAGCAACAGTTCCAACAGGGCACGCCACACCAGCAACAGTTCCACCAGGGCACGCCATCCCAGCAACAGTTCCACCAGGGAACGCCACACCAGCAACAGTTCCACCAGAATTCACCTTATCAGCAACAAATATTAGCATCATGACTTAGCCAAGCAACAACCATCAGCTGATGTCCAAACCCTCAGTTCACAAAAAGACAAAGTCAACAGTCCTAAACAGCAACATCCCAACAACGTCCAGGCCAACTGTCTACCAGAGCACTCTGATTCAGACCCCGATGCAACTCCAATACAGCCCCGCTTTAGACGTTTTGGACAGCCACCAGATCACCAGTCAAATCCAGTTGACACCAATCAAGAAAAACAAGAGAGACTACTACCAAAGAAGAAGTCAGCTACACGCCTTTCCTTTGCTGAGGTAATTTGATTTATATTAAGCTGGCACAAGTAATCTTTAAGTTTAAGATGTAATATAAATTATTAGATTTGTCAGAAAATCTAAATCAATTTGATAACAAGTTACACTATTTACAACAGTAAATTGCATTTAAAATTTGCCAAAAAAAGGTTCTTGTCATTGCCTAATGTTCAATGATTTTCCCCATGATTTTATGGAATCTTTAAAGTAACATTATGATTTCTTTAAAGGGATGTCTGAGGAAATTTCCAGAGGAAACCAGATACTGGACGAGTTCCTAGAAAACACAGCTGACAATACAGATGAGGTACAGTGGATTTGTGTTATATAATATTTCAAATCTCATTTTATTTCAAATCTCATACTTTTTACTCACAGATGGAAACCTGATGATGTGTTCTGCATTTTCTATAAGTGTTACTTTACTTTTTAGTTTGTGTTGCAGTGTGATTGCTGCAAGGCTGCTTTAAAGGAAAAGGAGAGGGAGCTAGAGGAGGTGAAAAGACAGCTTTTCCAAGCTAGGGAGGAACTTCAACAGAAAACGTCTAAAATTTGGTAAGTATTTGTATTTATGATTTCTAAAATAATAATGCATTAAATAAACACTGTTTTTAAAATTTATTTAATATGATTAAATTTTAATTGCAAGACTTACACTGTTGTCTCATGGGATTCATTGACTCTATTTAAAATAAATATTTTTTATTTATAGGTGAATGGAATACCCAGAAAGATGGATACCAGAGCAGGACGTGCAGGTAGGATCAAAGGAGATAGCATATACAGAACCATAGTGTAAGTTTTGGATGGAATTACAATGATTAGGCATAAAAAATTTAAAGAAACACTATCCAGATTTTTATAAGTTTAAGAAACAAAAGGTTGATAGAATGTTGGTCAAGTTCTTTCATGAGAAGGCATTTGAAAATGAGGTCAAAATTTCACTAATACCTTTACCCCTGTTAAATACCATTTGGTAGGATATGATAAACCTATGTAAAACCTGATAATATTTCCCCTTAAACTGTCTGCTTAGATATTTTCATGATGGGAGTGGTCACATCAAATTGAAATGGCTAGTATGTTCAGAATAGGTCATTCTTCAGATAAACGGAATGAGAATAAGGGACTAGTAAATGAAAAAATATGATTATTTGATTGTCAAACATATCAAAATATGAATGTTATCCTAAAAGCTTGTTTTACAAATATTCTGAAACAAATGTATGATTTCTGGTTTTCACAAAAAGTCAATTATCATTCAAAAGAACAAATTGAGAGAACACAATTTAACTCTGTAATACTTTACTAGGTACAATGACATGACAAAGATGATTGGAAGTTTTTGCTTTGTGAAACTTTGGTACTTTTAAAAGTGTATATTTTTGGTACCGTAATTAATTTTTTTTTTTGATTATCTAGATGATGGAGCTAATGCCTGGTAGTGGGATCTACGTTTACCCAAAAGATGTGCGGGCCCTCAACAAAAAAACCAGTGGAACTGGAAAACGTTTGATGTCTGTGTTTTACACAAATGAAATTGTGAGGCAAGGAAACCTTTTATATTTGGAAAAGAAGGATGGCAAGTAAATTTTGAAGACTATTGTTGGTAAGAATAAAAAATAACGAATTTTTAACAATAATGACAAATTCCTTTTACTTAGAATTAAAATAATCAGTCACACTTACATTTTTCAATGCTCTATTTGGTAAAAACGAACTGCTTGTGATTTTCAAAACAATGATATGCAATTTATTTTGTGTTAAATATTCATTTTTTTCAATGAAGCAATCAAGCTGATTAATTTATATATTTCTTTTAGACTATGCTGTTGTTAAGGGAAGAGATTGTCCAAATCAAGTTTTCGATGAGGAAAGATCAGTTCCCTGGTCAGCCTACAGAACAGGAAACAGAATCCATTGCTTCAATCCGTAATGTGATATCCTTCCATGACATTAACTTTTTTCCTTAAAATAATGTGATAGTGAATTCACTTCATTAGGATGTGATCTGTCCATATTGAATGCGTAGCCAATGTTTAATTGATTCTGACTTTGAATTTCCTGAAATTTGGCAATGTTTGATGTTATATGAGAATTATGATGAATTTCTATGTGGGTATATTTATCATCCAATGTTTAATTGCAATGGCATAAATTTCCTAAATGTGGGTATATTTATCATCCAATGTTTGATGTGATATGAGAATTATGATGAATTTCCTATGTGGGTATATTTATTATCGAATGTTGAATGTGATACGAAACTTGCAATGAATTTCCTTAGTGGGTCTATTTACTTTCCAATGTTTAATGTGATATCGGACTCCCTCCATAAGAATGCTGCCCATTTATTAAAAGAATTGTGATATGGAACAACTTTCATAGGGATATATATTGTTCATTTTTAATGTGATAACGTGTGTACAATGAGAAGTTATATTTTGTTAATGGATTTTAAAGAAAAAATTAGTTCCAAACACTTTATTAAAGATTTTAATTATATCAACAATAGTCGCTGTATTTAATATGTTACATATGAACAACAGTTCCTGTACATAATTTGTTATTTATTATCCATTAACTTTAATGGTTGTTGAAATGTGTGCTTTTGTACAGAAATGGTGCCTGTAATAAATTTCTTGTAGATTTTCAAAATATAACTTTTCTGTAACTTTTCTATAACTTTTTTTAATAACTTTTCAGTAACTTTTTCCATAACTTTTTAAAGGTATAACTATTTTTAGGTATAACTTTTTTGTAACTTTTTTCATAACTTTTATCGGGTATAACTTTTTTGTAGCTTTTTTCATGAAATTTGGGTATAACTTTTTTGTAACTTTTATGATAACTTTTATTAGGTATAACTTTTTTGTAATCTTTTTTCATAACTTTTATCGAGTATAAATTTAACTTTTTTCATAACTTTTATCGGCTATAATTTGTAACTTTTTCCACGGTGTGTTAAAAGTATAACTAAGGTATAACTTTGTAACTTTTTTATAACTTTTTGTGTAACTTTTAATAAGTATAACTTTTTGTCGTTATAACTTTTTTATAACTTTTATGCAAATGTTGTATTTAAATTGAAATAAAAGATGAAATTTGTTTGAGTTATAACTTTCACCACTAAGTTATACTAAATTATACCTCGCATAACGGTGTGTTGTTCTCTTAAATGTTATAACTTTTTTGTCTTTTTTTAGTTATGAAATTTGGCAAGTTTGGTTTTATTATTTCTTGGCAATGGCAAGAACTTTGTAAATCTTACATGATGAATTGTAAGAGAACTGAAATTTACATAGGGAGAATCCATCACCAGGCTATATTCAGTCAGTCGTACCAGGGTGTGTTCTCTTAAATGGTAATAACTTTTTCATTTTTCAATGAAATTTGGCAAGTTTGGTTTTATTTTTCTTGCAATGGCATGAACTTTGTAAATCTTACATGATAAATTGTAAGAGAACTGAAATTTACACATTCACAATCCATCACCAGGCTATATTCAGTCAGTCATACCAGGGTAAACTCTTAAATGGTAATAACTTTTTCATTTTTCAATGAAATTTGGCAAGTTTGGTTTTATTTTTCTTGCAATGGCATAAATTTTGTAAATCTTACATGATAAATTGTAAGAGATCTGAAATTTACATAGGGATCCAGAATCCATCACCAGGCTATATTCAGTCAGTCGTACCAGGGTTTGTTCTCTTAAATGGTAATAACTTTTTCATTTTTCAATGAAATTTGGCAAGTTTGGTTTTATTTTTCTTACAATGGCATAAGTTTTGTAAATCTTGCGTGATAAGCGGTAAGAGAACTGAAATTTACATAGGGAGAATCCATCACCAGGCTATATGCAGTCATGCAGTCATACTGGTGTGTTCTGAATAAGTTCCCTTAAATGGTCAACACTTTTTCCTTTTTCACTGAAATTTGGCAAGTATGGATTTATTTTTCTTACAATGGCATGAACTTTGTAAATCTTACATGATAAATTGTAAGAGAACTGAAATTTACCTAGGGAGAATCCATCACCAGGTTATATTCAGTCAGGCGTACGTAGTCTGGTGTGTTCTCTTAAATGGTCATAACTTTTTTCTCTTTCACTGAAATTTGGCAAGTATGGTTTTATTTTTCTAACAGTGGCAAGAACTTTGTAAATCTTACATGATCAATTGTAAGAGAACTGAAATTTACATAGGGAGAATCCATCACCAGGCTATAATAATGCAGTCAGTCGTACCGGTGTGTTCAGTTTCCTTAAATGGTCAAAACTTTTTCCTTTTTCACTGAAATTTGGCAAGTATAATTGGTTTTATATTTCTTGCAATGGCATAAACTATGTAAATCTTACATGATAAATTGTAAAAGATCTGAAATTTACATAGGGAGAATCCATAACAAAGCTATATGCAGTCAGTCGTACCGGTGTGTTCACTTCTCTTAAATGGTCATAACTTTTTCATTTTTGAATGAAATTTGGCAAGTATGGGATTTTTTTTTCTTATAAAAGCATAAACTTTCGAAATCTGAAATTATAATTTGTAAATATTAAAGGACTGAAATTTTCATGGGGAGAATCCTTAATTAATATGTTATGCTCGAAGAGTCATAATGGTGAGTTCTCATAAAGGCAGTTTATAGTATATGATATAATAATTTTTTTTCAAGGATAGGGGTGTTAAATTAAACATTAAAAAATATATAATTCAATACCTTGGTA